AATATTGCAGACTTGTTGCTTTCCTGATGACATGTTGCTGAAGCTCAACTTAAACTTTTCTAAAATGTTGCAGAAATTGCGCAAAAAAATGCTTATGTTGCTTTTGATTTACCAATGATGAGTAACTGATTGTCAAAATTTTATTCGTCCAAATTTTCGCGTAGAACGTGATACCCTATCATAAAAGAGTAACACTGCCGCATTAATTGCACCTCGAATACACCAATTTCTTACCTATCCTGTGATACATATTTGAATTATTTAATTCCTTCAATTAAAGTTGAATTTGATTTTTTAAACCCTGGAAGGTTCCCTAGAGATAAAGCCTTTTCAAACCCATTTTCATTGATACCCATATTGCAGCAATTCATATAACAAATTGAACAAAATTATTTAACAGGTGGCAACTCTGTTAATGTTTTAACCTACTTGATTTTAAACATTTACAATTCTATATGTCATAACACGTCTTTTCCAAACATTTCGATTTGAAATATTCATAAAAATAATTTTGGCCGCATAAATCGGCTAAATACCCCTATGTGCGCTGTGCGACAGGCCTTAACCGAATTAAATCGGGGAAAAAATGTATATGTGATATGTTCGACTATAGTTATATCGATTTTTGGGTATTATATAAAAAAAAATCAAATCAATTTTTTGAGTCTCCTGAAGGAATCTGAAATTTGCCCCCTGTGCGACACGACTTAACCGTTCCCAATCGGTACCAAAATTTATATGTGATATCTTCGGCAATAGTAGCATCGACGTAGGGGTTGAGGCTTAGGGAATCTCATGTAAAAATTTGCTTCCTGAATTTCAGGACCACCCTAATGTGCATATATTAGGAGGCATCATTCTCAATACAAAATAACTGAAGATGACGGTTTTCCATGGGAATTATCAAATTTATTATATGCTATCACTTCCGCCAAAATATTTCGGAATATATTAAGATTTGCGTGAGCTGGAGCGCTTTGCAAATATAAACCTCCAAATTTTTTTTTTTTTTTTCATAAAAATACATAGTTTTTCCAATAAATCATATGATAGGAGAGCTTTAACTTGAAATGTGTGCATTAAAAGTGATTAAATATTAAATTTTAACAAAGTAATGATTTTTTTTTTGGCGGTATTTTCAAATCGGAGCAGCTTGCGTAAATCTTAATAATTTGCCGATATATATTATCAGAAGTATTTAAGCAAAATTGTTTAATTCCGTTGCCACACAGGTATTTTTTTTTTGGGGCACCCTAATGTACAAATGTATATACGTATATGTATGTGTACTTTGGTACATGCGGTGGCGTACATTTATATTTTGATCACTCTACCATAGTTGCCTTCCGGCCTTTTAATTATCGCTAGACATGTATTTAAAAAAAATACTACCAAGTCAAACCTGACTCTTCTTATTAATCCATACATGCATAAATATTTAAACAATATGGAAAACGTATTAAGCAATCACCTACATACACATAGAATTGCAACACACTTTCAAAAAACTTTGAATCATTCGTTCAAGAAAAAAGGCTCCTGGAGGCAACAGAACAGCGGCAGAGTTTTTCAAAGCCGGTGGCGAAGAGCTATTTCGACACATGATGATGATTTGGCAGAAAGTTCCAAGTGAAAATCCTAGTTTTCGAGGAGTGGACAAATTGACTCCCTGTCCTTGATCGCAGATACGTCAACTTATACACAGACAGTTCAGGAATGAAAGAAAGAGCAGATGCAGATGTCGATGCACGTGGCAATAGACTCACAATTCCCGTGGGCATATGGGCCATGGAGTTAAAGGCTGAAGTTTTTGAAATTCTAACCTGTGTAAATTAGATCTTGAAAAAGGTTTGAAGGGCGCATTTATAGTTATAATTTTAGGTAGCCAAGCAAAAAGAATGATGAAACAAGAGAACCGCCTTTTTTGGACTGGAACAATTCTGTGATCTCCATTAGTCCTCTTCGATAACCATAATTACTGAGTGGGTGCCTTCTGAATGCAGTACTGGAAGGAGTGGGTGCCATAGACCGGGCAGGCTCTTTGGCTGCCCTTTAAATTGATCGAATACTATTCCACCCAGCAGAAATGATATCAGGCTACATTCCGGGTACCTAACGATAACAACCTGATGCGATTTTATAGGCACAGAATAGACAGCGAGTCAGCTCGGCCTTGAGGACAAGGAAACTTCCGAAGACATTCTTTATAACTGTACAACCTTGGCTAGACAAAGACTAATTCATTACACAGATCCAATGGTAATAAAAAAGATGTTTGGTGACCTAATCCTTCTCTTCCGTGAAAACATGGGCAAGAATGGGGGAGACGTTGAAAAATATCTCCTTAGATACGACAGTACTTAGCGACGGAAGCTCCATTTTCATGCATACTTGGCAAGTTCATCTTAATGGGTCGCTGTGGGCTAAGGTGACGTCTCCATAAATTAGGAACCTGGTCAAATGATCTCTATCGATTTTGTGTTTTGGGCTAGGGAGACGAGACTGCACCTGCCCCTTGAGTGTAACCCAGTTTCGAGACGTCCAAAGAGTCTGGACTCAATGTGATCAAAGGATAACCACACACACTCTCTATCCCAAGAAGCTCTAATCAACTTTCTGGAGATTGTAGGACTAAACGGCAATATAATGGGATGAGAACTCATTTTTCTTTCTCCTCGTTGTCCACCGCGATATTCCTCGATTATCGTTGGGATTCACTGCACTGGCATAATTAATAATAATAATAATAGATTGGCGCTTACACATATGTTAGTGTTTGGCCGAGCTTCTCCTCCGATTTGTGGCGTGCGCCTTGATGTTGTCACACAAAGCGGAGGGACCTACAGTTTTACGCCGACTCCGAACGGCGATTGTATTTTTATGAGAAGCTGTTTTTCATGGCAGAAATACACTCGGAGGTTTGCCATTGCCTGCCGAGGGACGACCGCTGTTAAGAAAAAAACCGTTTTCTATATTTTTTGATGTTGCTTTGACTAGGGCTTGAACCCAGGCATTGTGGAGTGGAAGCGCGCACTGCTTACCACTACACCACAGCGGCCGACAGCATAATTGCTTACCAAAAGATAAAATTTTGTAATTCATTTCTTTGAATTTATTAACGAATGTATATACATAGATACATATGCATAAAATAAAATACAAATAAAAAAATAAAAAATTCAATTCTCGAAAAAATCTACTTTTCCACCCACAGCGCATATTGCATATTTAGTTTAGATTTTGAGATGATCAGAATTATATATTTGCAATCAAATTAAAACGAATGACAATTTACTACCTTTATACGTAAGCTATTTGCAAAAAAAAATAATAATTTGCAAGTATCTAACTCACTGTGAAAAATTCTTATTCGAAAAAAATAAAAGATAAACTTATCAACAAATAGGTGCTATTTGTGGAATTAAAAAGTTTTAAATAATCTAGTAATTTTAGTTTGACATAGGTACTAATGTTATAATTTTAACTATAATTATAAAAAGGCAATAAGTTGATCATCGAAAAAGAAAATCAACCTTCTTCCATATAAAAAAAAATTTTGCTCATACTTTTTATGGAGAAAAATGCGTATAACCGTCAGCACAAAAAATATTAAAAATCAACGCGAGTCCTTAGCTGCTTCAAATTTTCAAATGATTATACTAAAACTGAATGGGATAATTATCGGCATACCAGATTTTTTTTTAAACTCTTTTTCTATAAAGTTTGAAACTTTGATTGGTACAGTTTTTGTTTTTAAGCAGAACCATATTGTTCAAAGAAGTTAATAGCAAAAACAAATATTTTTAAAAAAATATTTCTAAATATGAACTAAATCGGACCTTAAATACTGGTTTACCAAATATATCGACTGGTGCGCCACCTATCGGCAAAATTTTTAGTAGAGTTATTCCTTTCCATGTTGTTAATATATGTACGTTCTAAACTTGAACTAAATCGGACTATAAATGTGGGTTTTGAAAATATCTGGACTCCTGCGCCACCTGTCGGATTGTATATGAATGCAAGCAAGTTTATGTTTATAACACAAATGAGTTTCACATACTTTGTCCAATCTCTTTATAGTGATCTATAGCATAGCGGCCGCTGTGGTGTAGTGGTAAGCAGTGTGCGCTTCCACTCCGCAGCGCCTGGGTTCAAGCCCTGGTCAAAGCAACATCGCAAAAAAAAAATAGAAAACATATTTTTTCTTAACAGCGGTCGTCCCCCGGCAGGCAATGGCAAACCTCCGAGTGTATTTCTGCCATGAAAAACAGCTTCTCATAAAAATACAATCGCCGTTCGGAGTCGGCGTAAAACTGTAGGTCCCTCCGCTTTGTGTGACAACATCAAGGCGCACGCCACAAATCGGAGGAGAAGCTCGGCCAAACACTAACATATGTGTAAGCGCCAATCTATTATTATAGTATAGCGCTCTATGTGCCCTACATTGAAATGTATAATGAACATATCAGGGTTTAAACCTTGTTCATATACTTTCAAATCAAGAGTTTCGATCTGTTTTTAAATCGAATAAATTCCAAGTACCACACATTTATGCGCAGACTATCTACGAACTTTGTAAACTCTTTAGGAAATAAGCACACAGCGAATTTAAAGAGTGCCGAGTTAAAACAATAGCTGCCCTTAAACTTTACCAAAGTCAACGTCGCATATTCTTCGGAAGCAAAACCATATGTTGGAGTACAAGCATACGCACTGACGTCGTTGCATGCAAAAGCTAATGACTGTAACTTGAAAAGCATATTTATGTAGCTAAATGTAAAAACTAACGGCGCACATCCGAATAAGTGGCACAAAACATGATACTCCCTTTGATGTTGCAACATTTGACCAAAAACTGACAGCGGCTCAACTTCAAAAACTAACCAAAAGAGTTCTAGAATTTCAAAGTAGACTAGAAGAGTAGTAGGAAGACACAAAAGTGCAGCGCACACATACATAGACAGCATTGATGCAAACATTTGAAATGCTGCGGTATATAAGCGCTAAGAACAACCGTTTTAGAATCAAACAGTGGACAACTTTACAGTTTGAATCATATTTTTAACAACAGCTCACACATACGGAAGATGATTAAGTTTGTAAGTAACTCGCGGCCGAGACTAGACACTAAAATGTTGAGCACATATAAATATTTGTTAACACTTGACATTTCAGCTCATTTTGATTTGCTTCTTTGCCATGGCATTTGCGCGTCCTGGTTACCTGCACTCGGCGCCCATCCTAACCACCTACCGTGAGCAGCACGTTGCCGCGCTGCCTGCCGCAGTGCATATCGTGGAACCATTGGTGACCACACACCAAATTGTAACACCCTTGCTGCGTGGCGCCATACTCAACCATGGCTTGCACTGAGCCACCAAGCCGCAGGAGTCACGGACTGAATGGGCAGCAGCAGAAAAAATATATAGCTAAAAAAAAAATGGAATTACCTTAAACGCCTATTAAACAAAGCGCTGCAATAAGAAAAAAAGAATGAAAAGAAAACAAAAAAAATGCTTATTTTTTACTTTTATTTCACTTTATTTCATACAAAATTATTCGAAATCCTTTGAAATGTTCGTGCCTTCTGCGCCTACTAAGTAAGCTAGTGTATAAACTCATAGGTGACCGGTTTGTAGTCGGAGCGATATTGCTGCTGGAATGAGTCCGGTGTCTGCACGCTGTTGTAGGTCTCCACAGCCGGCAATGGCACAGCAGCCTGATAGCGCGAATAGGCCAAAGGTAGAATGGCGGCGCTGCGTGCTGCGGGCACTGCAATGGGCAGTGGTGCATAGTAAGCTGCTGCGGCGCTGCTGGCGGGCGTGTAGTAGATTTCAGCAGCCCAGGCAACGGTGCCCAACAGGCAAGCGAAGATCAACTGAAAAGAGACAATTTCTGAGTTGAATAAGAACGATTAAAAAACAAGTTGACTGCAACACGCCACATGTCGCAGTAGTTTTGTTTCTTTACTCGTATTAAGTTAATTACATTTTGTCTTACCAATTTCTGCATGTTAGCTTAGTTATCGTTATAGTGTTATCCGTCTCTTCAAAAATAGTTCTTACTCAAGCTGCCACAAGTGCACTGCTATAACCAACGGCAATGCGTTCGCACTTTTATATAAGCCATCCTTCTTCTGTTCTGTACATATGTATGTATGTAGCAATAGCAGTAAAAGCATTAACTAGCCAGCAATGCCAAGGACAGTCGTACAAGGTTACGCCGCATTGAATAAAGCTTCACTTGTTGTCACATTCTAGAATGGTTTTACAAGTGCTAGACATTCTTGTCATCCCAGTATTTGTATAGTTGTTAAAAGGGAGAAGACCAGGATAGCGACGACTGCGTGCAGGCTGCATATGATAAACATAAACATATGTACATCTTCTTCGAACGTTGGAATGCTGAATTAAAGTTAATTTGAATGTTGATTTGCAGTTATGGCGCGAGTGGATTGTCAAGATTTTCTATATGGTTGGACTTAAGCGCTCGGTAAGAGTAATGATAAGCGTGAACATTTACCCTGCAGTGAAAAGCTGAACCAGTATGTACAAATTCCAGTTCATGAACTATTATTTAAGGATAAAAGTCATACCAGTTTTTTATGAACCATAATTATACCATTATGATTCTAGTTCGAAAAGTGGTATTAAATGGGGAAGTCATACCAGTTCGTCATGGAATATAATTGTACCAGTTCTCCGCAATGAACTGCCAAACCAGCTTGTATAAATATCTACTAGTTCATTAACTAGCTAAAGCGACGGCCTTCCATTTCGGCAATTTCGACTAACTTATGCAATCAGCGACATCTATCTTTGAATAGCCACAACAAAACTAAAATGCGATTAATAGCTTTCATTACAAATGTCGGCTGTGGCGTCGAGTGAGGACTACCGATTCTGGTCTGAGATTTCAAGTTCGAGTGCGCTTTGAGGTTATTAAAGTAAAGTTAGAGTAAATTATTTCAGTTTAAAAATAAAATAAAAATTGTACATAAATTTTAATTTCATACAACGTGAACTAGTTGCGCTGAAGCCCAAACGGGTAGCATTCTCTGGTTCACATCTGGTAGCTTTCCCTGCAGGGTATGTTCACACATTCGAGCACATATTTAAGTACCTACATTCACTTATTTATAAAATTTTATTCTGTTATGCAAACTTCAGTTAAAATTCCAAGGTACAAGGGTAGTATGATAAATCTATCTTTTTTCTTATTAACATGTCAGATATAATCGCGCTGCGACCTGAAAATATCTGTTTCTTTCGGAATTCCTCATTCCCTATGGCGTCCGCCAGTGGGCTGCAATTTGAGAATCTTCCCAGCTCCTGACTAGCTATGCACTGTTTTCCTTAGATGTGTCGCAGATCGCTCCAACCAAGGATCGAACCTGGCACGTACAGATTTGTAGCATGCAACCGGCTACCGTGAAGGCCACACTGGCTTGCTTTAATTGCTTACTTGTACAAAAGACAACAGCTCGCCGTTTCTACCAGTGTTGTCATCGAAAATTCCCCTGATCCGAGTTAATTCCCAAAATTTTCGTGCATTTGTTTGGCTACTTATGCGCATTTGAAAAATGAAAATGCGAGCCCGTTTATCATCCGTATAACTGCTGTCTGACACAGCCCACATAATATGATTCGGGCCCCATTTGTCCTTCTACGAACACATTCGCGAACACAGATTTCGATTGCGGAAACTTCAGCCTAGTATATGGTTGGGTATGTGCCCATTGGTAGACTTTTCTGGAATCTTGGTCCAAGTATGCCTGCTCCGTACTCCCGTCGTCCAACTTCGATCCTTCGGTATACTCTTTGTCAATCATACATACATATTATCACTACCCAGCAGTCCCTTTCAGGAGTTCCGACCTTGAAGGGCTGGTAGAAGGTAGATAGGCTGGTAAAATATAATTTCGGTAGCATGATGTTTGCCAGCGGAATAATCCAGGAATGACTTGAGAAACTCCAAATGACGCCGAAGGGTTAAGAATGCAAAGTTGGAAAACTTGAAGCTCGAATAGTGGAATATTTCGGAATATTTCGAAGTGTTCAAGATGTTCGTGTTGTATGTGTGTTTGTAAGGGAACTTATTCAAGTAATATGTCGCTGGCATCCCCAACCATGGCCAACGGTCCCAAGCCTGGCCCATCACTCAATCTAAACTCCAGTTCTCAGAGTAATTTCTGCAGTTCGTTAGTAAACTACTGTTTACAACTAAACAACGGGCCGTGCAGAAATTTATGCAGTGATAGAACTTTTCTGGTAGCTACTGGCTGAGCATGTCTAACCGTCCCCTGTTTCTAAGACAGTTCATTGCAAAGCAGTCTACGTCTCCTAGAGTTTGAACCGCAAGGTTCGCCCAGTGAATACATAAACTCGTAACGAAAGGTAACTTTTACCTCCTATAAATCTCACACACCTTTGTATCAACTCGTTCCTCCTTAGCTTCCCACTAAACTTTTTTAAATTTTTTCCAGTTTAGCGGAATAAACACAAAGAATATCAATAGGAAGGAATATAAAAACTAAATTCGGTCTTCCAGACCTTATCAAAACTTCTATCTTGACACGGACAGATTGAAGAAACATGCCGGGCTGTCTAAGGTGCAACAACAGCACCAGTTAGTTAGACAAGACCTGGTGACTGAAATTAGCCTTGGTGATTTGACAATAAATACTCAGCTCTGAATACAGTAGCTACTCTCAATGCTCTTTTAAATTTTAAATTAAAATTTAAATTTGAGTTTTGCTTACAAGTGAATCTTTAGATTTCAGACGACGACATGTCGACTGCATTATCTCGGACTTTGGCACGATGGTAGTACTTCAGCACAATTGGAACTACTATTTGGTATCTAATGTTAATTTTTAATTAAGCAAATCTTTTTTATACCTTTGTGCATTTCTATGACTACAACATAGCATTTCTTCAGATCGTCCACATTAAATTTTTTGTTTTAACAAGCAGAAAAGTTAGTTATTCCAACGATTTTATGTGAGAAATGCTCTCGCATATTTCAAATTTTTTCCAACATTTAAAATATCCAGCACTTTAGTAAGGCGAATATTAAATTCGTAAACTTATTTTATCCCTTATAAGAAGAAACGCATTTTCAGAAATGTTATTGTTATTTCTTATACTATATTCATTATCCGTTGCTCTGCCCACATTATGTTATTAATTACTGAACAACGGCAATGGTTCTTAAATGCTCATTAGAATTTTTAATTACCGGACAATATTTGCGTCATAAAGCGGGCGGCCAGCCTTCTTGGCAAAAACAAAAATAACTTAGTTGTTATTATAAATCGTAGGAAGCCATAAATAGCAAAAATAATAAGGTAAACAACAGCCCTGCATAGGAGAAGAAAAACAAGGACTAAACATAAACTCGTATACTTGAAAATATGTATGTACGTGCATACTTACTCATGTACATATGAACTCAGATATGTGTGTATGTCTTTGAATAATAATATATAAACAAAAGAATGTGCCTACTTTCTTCCAACAGTTTCAAGATATATATCAGTGGGATATTCAAAGTAGAGTAAGTACTGTTTGCTTTGTGTGTTACCTATATATCCTGTTTAGAGAGCACTTACGGTTTAAATATAAGAAAATTTATCCTCGACGACGAAACATCCGATAACAGACGGATGCTGATCAACTAGGATAGTGCATGAAACATAATAGTGAACCAATATTCCAAATTATAGAAAAAATAGATCTTCTGAGAGCCCTTGTTTTGAATCTTTGGAAACTTTAAGCCTTCCTTGCCCAATTCTTTGTTTACTTCTTTTTAATTTGTATCGAATTTCCAGAATTTTGACTCAGCTTCCCCCATAAAGGGAAGTTTCCATGAAATAAGAATGGCACAGTTCAAATTAAAAAATTAAAAATCGTAGAATCCCACCCGTGACAGAGGAATTTCGGATTTTTTTTATAATAAAACAATAATTTTTGTTGCAGTTTTTGCTTTGTTTGTATTTGTGGTTCTTTGTTTTATTATAAGACATCAAGTATACACAGAAAAGTGAAATAAATTCGCAGATTTTCCGTACAATATATCTGCTCCAAAAAGCGGGTTCTTTTTTTTTTGTGTCCCACCCGTGACAGAAGAAGTAATTCCGATAAGAAGTTGCCAATACGCAGCGATGTCTGAAGGTGGGATCCCTGCAAAACTAATGCGCCGCGTAGCATGACGGAAGATCTCCTCTGCGATGGGCGGTTACGACGCAAAACTAGCAGAAGCATAGATCCATTGACTCAGAACAAAAATTATGGAAACTCATATGTACATACATATGTATGTGTAAAGAACGACGCGTAAACATAGATGTATACTTGGTCAAGGACTTGGTCACATCAGCATCATTCCCTAAATACTCGTTGGGGAATTACATACTGTTACACCCGCAAACATAGTTGACCGCGCAAATAATGGCGTTTTCTTTTCACCTGA